TGGGGTGTTTTAGCAAACTTTCAAATATAAGGGGTTAAAAGAAATAATTTAAAAAATAATAGAATAAAATAATATTATATTATTATTTAAAAATGAGGATAATTTAGTAATCTATATAATATACCCACTCATTTATCCTTTCAACCAAACATATTATTATAACATACCTACCAATCTATTCCAACCAATTAAACATATTTCTTTAAAGATTCCCTAATAATCTATATTTTCAATAATACAATATTCTTCCGTAATACAATATTCCCTGAACCCAATGTACCATAAGTTTCTACCATCTACACACTTTTTATATTGTTTCATAATCAACTAGGTAAAGTAATATTGACGTTTGACAATATTAATATGCTTTTTACTCTAATGTTATGACTTCGTGTAGTGTAGACGCCGAATGTCTAGCATTAATATTTGTTTAGTTGACAAACGAGTGATTAGGCAAAGCAATAATAAAAGCTGTCAAAAGTCGTGTAATAGTTCATTAAAGTCTTCGTCTCAATTAACTTTACCCTAAACAATTATTGTTCATGAAGAACTAAAACCACGCATTGTATTAAATTTGTACCCCTGGACCAAAAACTTAAATGTTTCACATCTAATCTGTGCAATACAAGCAAATAAGACTAAGGTGGTATTTTTTTTTTTTTTTGTCTGAAAGCTTAATATACATGTTATTTAAATTATACAAGTCTGATCAATATATTTGTTTTTTTTTTCTTTTTTTACATAAATATTGAATGATATGTATTTTTTTTTTTTTTTTTATATAGTGCAAACATCTTAAAAATTAGTGTTTTGATTTATATGTCCTTATTAAATATAATATAGTTTTGTATTTTACATGTTTTAAACAAATTTAAATGATCAGATATATGAAAATTAAAACTAAACAAATTTATATAAATTAAAGATAATTATGTTATTATATTGTTTGATGTAATTTTTAAAAATTCATTATAACAAAAAAATTAAAATAATACTAAAAATTCATAATTCATAAGAGTGTTGTCAAAATTGGAATTATCTAAAATTAATAAGGGTATTGTTGCCAAAATAAAAATTGTATTGATTAAGATGTTTTTATATTTAGATAAAAGCCAAATATTTTACCTTCTTACTTATATATGACGATAAACAGACATAAGTTAAAAAAATAAATAAACCTAAAATTAAAGATTTATATAATAAAAATGAAAATGGCCATAATTTTGAGGTTGTTTTGAAAAATAAATCATATTATATAATACTGTAATTCTTACATTACAGTATCAACGTGATTATTACATTACAAAATACCATTTCTTTTACAAAGTGGAATCAAGATTCATGTGAAAAGAAAATGGTACAACATTAATCATTAAACTATTAGAGAATGTGCAAGCAACTTCACATCTTTAATTATTATTATATAAAAATTAAATGCATTGAATTGCCTTACAAATTTTATGAAGTTGAAATATTGTGCGCGTGTTTTAGTGTTAAGGATACTATGTGCAACCTTGATTATGGAGTCTATAATCAAATATCATTCTTATATTTAATAAAAAGAAACACAAAACACTTCAACAATTTAACTTGTGGAATATAACTCAAAATTGCAAATAAAATAAAAAGACCAAAATACCCCTAAAATACAATGGCCGAAGCTCCAAACTATTAGCAAAAATGCATTGGAGAAATCGTCTAAAATTCATTCAAATAATTTGATTAAATAATCCTTTATAGACTTGGCCACCTCCAACATTTGAAAATTTTCTCTTTGTTATAGATACATTTAACTGGGCCTAAAACGCCAAACCCATTTGTACATTTTATATTGTCTCATAATCAACTTGGTAAATAATAATATTGACGTTTGTCAGTATGCTTTTTCCTCTAATATTATGATATGAAGCTTTTTTGTTTAGTTGACAAGCAACTGATTAAACAATAATATGAAGCTTACAAAAGTCATGTTACAATTCACTAAAGTCTTCATCTCAATTAACTTCACCATAAAAGCACTATAGTTATTGAATAACTAAAACCACCCATTGGATCATTAAACATTAATGTGCAGCATATGCAATAGATGGTGGACACTTTTGCCATTCTAAAATTAGTTAAATTACATTTGCAAAGTTCATATTGGAAATAGATTATTTGTCAACTTCATATTAAAAATGGATTATAATAATAAATGATATAATTATTTCAAATAAACTGTCAATTCATATTAACGATGGATTATGTTGATAGAGGAACGTAAAATTAAAATTGCAATTGTTCTAATAGGCTGAGATATTGTAGTTTATTGGGGTTGAATTATTTCAAAGTGGGTTGGATTGAATTGCAGTATACATAATGTTGTACTATGTTTAGTGTTTTTAAGTCTACTATGTAAAAGTTTGTTTTACCCTTCATCAAGTTAGAATTGGTGACTAAAATAGACAGCAAGTTTGTTTGTTTGGTAGTGTTTGGAATTTGTGGGTCGTAAATGTTATTTTTTAGAGTTACAGGGGGTCTGATGACCCATGTTTAGACAATGATCCTCTCACTTTATCATTAATTGATACTCAAGTCAAAGCGGTTGCGGATTTATTTTCAACCAAAAGTGCGGTGCTATGTTACTTAAATAATAATACTATGTACAAACTCTCTCATTTAATCTAATGTAATATTAAGTGAATGAATGATTTTGTACACAAATCAATTTCATAAATGTTGCATTAATATAGATCAATGATATAGCCATCAAGCCATAAAAGAATTATACCATATCGTGGCGTTTGTTTAGGTAAATTTTTTATTACTGAAAATATAAGATTACTACTGAAATAGATTACCTTGAAGATTGATGGGAGAATATTATACTAATATGTTTGATTAGATTGGTGAGTATAAATAATTAATATGTTTGGTTGGGAAGAATAAAATATTATTGAAGGGGTTTTTATTGAATTGCCCTTCCTCGTTAATATTATTATTTAGAACATTTTCTTAACCCCATACATTTGAGAATTTAGCTAAAATACCCCAACAACAAAAGTTTAAAATTTAACAAAATATACCTAACCACGCAAGACGACTGTCGGTCGCTAGCCACCATCATTGGCTACTGTCGATAGTCGTCAAAATGGAACACGACCGACCGAATCTAGTCAGTCGTGCATCAATCTGGCTTAAAAAGCCAAATCCATTATGGCCATTAACGGCCATATATATTCTGGTCGTTAACGGCTAGATTTGTGGCCGTTTACAACCATGGATCTGGCTGAAAATGGTCATAATGGATCTAGTCATTTTTTGTTAGATCCACAGTCATCTAGCCATTTCCGGCCTTCGATCTAGCCGAAAATGACTAAATCAACGCATGGTCGACCAGATCCGATCGATCGTGCACCGTTATGACGACTACCGACGGCGACCGACGATGGTGGCTGATGGTTGGCATCGTCTTGGGCGGATGGAGGTATTTTGGGTATTATCCATGTAAATAGGAGGGTATTTCTGTCCAAAAAATTAATAAATGAGGTTAAAGAAATCATTTCGCACATTTGGGTTAATTGTTATTTAGTAGACATATGAGGGCATTTGTGTTCAAAATGTTTATTAATTCAGGGTAAAATTGGTATGAATGGTAATGGAAAAATAACACACTCTCAGATGGTAATTGAATTATCATCGTTTTTACCTATAATAACCACTATTGGCATTGAAAGTTTACCATAATATTTCATTACTTGACATATAAACATAACAATTACCGAAAAATAAGATAGATTACTAGTGTTGTCTTTTATGCCCCCCAAACAAATTTACACTATAAGTTTATATATATAGCATCACTTATTGTTTAAAAATCAATATTATAGACGCTTGTAAAGTAAACGGAAAAATGGATTAGAAGATAAGTGTAATTCCCATAATATAGTCCTATCCTATACTGGTTACAAAAAATATCCTTTTAATTTGCTAGGGAATGGACTAATAAATTAGTCCGTGGATAGCCCTTTCTTTTTAGTCACCAACCAGTATTCATCATTTTGTAAAGAGTAAACAAGATGTTCCCACGCAAAGATTAGCGAAATTCAAAGTTCCACCCATGGTTTCATTTATTCCACATTTCTACCCTTAAATTAACAGAAAATCATTTAATGTAATAGTGAATGGTAAAGGTGAAAGGATAAAATTGTCATTTGAATTGCATTAAATCTTAAACAAAAATAAAATTTCAAAATAACCCTTTATATCTCAAATTTCTCTTACAACCACCCCTCATCACTCTACTCCTCGCGACTGTCAAAAAAATCTAAATTTGGTCGGATTTCGACGTCGTTTGACATTACTGCCACCACACTAGCTTCGCCCACTCATCCCCAACAAAACCCATCCATCCTCCAGTCTCGTTCGCCTCCATTTGGCCAGATCTGAGCCTTTTCTCCTTATTTTCCTCTCCCTTGCAACTGTTGAAAAATCCAAATCTATTTGGGTTAAAAAGTAATTCATTGGTAAGGACAGCTTGGTAACAACATTCTCCATATTGGTTTAGAACCCAAAAATCATTAACAATGTTAATTTAAGGATAGGTATCTGGAATAAATGAAATTAGGGATGGAAACTTGGATTTTCTCTAATCTTTGGGTGGGTACATGTCGTTTACTCTTTTGTAACATTCGAAGCATGTCAGCAAAAAAAGGAATATTGTGTTATGTGAATGATTAAGCAAAAAAGAGTAGCAATGTTGTATTATCCTAATAAAGGAAAGTGAACAAAGATAAAAAAGATAAAAAAAGGAGATTGATATAAATAAATCAAAGCATTTTAAAATTGAACGTGACATCATGCATCCAAAGTCCAAACATTTGAGCAACTAGTCTAAATTTTTGTCTGTAAGGATTATTTTGTGCAGAAGCCCAGGATTCCCAGCTCATCTTCCCCCTTTCTGACCCCACCCCCACCCCCACCCTTCCCTCCCTACTGGGCTGAGTCTGAGACATGTTTGTTTCCTAAGTCAACGCGTATCTTCATCACTGAGAACAAGAAACAGCCCAACCAACTACCCCAAACCAAATTATGATCACACAATTCCATTCTTAACACAACATTATTCCAAACAATTCCTTTTCTCTTCCTCTGCATGGGCTCCTCTTCGTTCTTCATCTTCTTCTTTTCATACGCCATTCTTCTTCCACTTACCTCTTCAGCGCCTATTCTCACCAACTCCATCTCCCCAAATTTCACCGCCTCTTCTCTCCAATTCATCGATAACTCTGGCGCTTTCTTGCAGTCTTTAAACAAAACCTTCAAGCTCTCCTTTTCACACCCCAACTCAGAACTCTCTCAGTACTATCTATCCATCATCCACTCTCCTTCCAATCTAATCATCTGGACTGCAAATCCAAACAAACCCATTTCCGATTCTTCCAAGTTCACTCTATCCCTCAACGGTCTCTCCATCACCAACGATGATGGCCGCCTTGTGTGGTCCACTCCTAAGCTTGACTCTCCAGTTTCGGTCATGCAGCTTCAAGATTCTGGAAATCTTGTTCTTCTTGATGCCCAAAACGTTTCTCTTTGGGAGAGTTTCGGTTCTCCAACGGATACCCTTGTCATTGGACAACGCTTATATCTCGGTCAATCATTGAACGGTGCCGTTTCCGGAAATGACTTGTCGGTTGGTGATTACAGATTGGTTGTTACTGACGGTGACGCGGTTCAGCAATGGAATGGGTTGAATTATTGGAAGTTGTCCATGTATACTTCAGCTTTTAAGAACTCCAATTCTCCGGTGTCGTTTTTGTCAATGAATGGGACTGGGTTGTATTTGTTTGCAAGTGATGGATCAACGGTGGTGATTCAGGTGGAATTGGGTTCTTCTTCTGATTTTAGAATTGCTAAATTGGGGACTAACGGGAGGTTTAGTGTTAGTAAATTTGTGAGTGATAGCTGGGTGGAAGAATTGGCTATTCCTGTTGATGAATGTAGAATTCCTTTTATTTGTAACAAAATTGGATTGTGTTCAAGTAGTAGTTGTTCTTGTCCATCAGGTTTTCACCCTAATACCAATGGCGATTGTGTTCCAGTGAATGCTTCTCTTTCATTGCCGAGTGCTTGTACTAATAGAGGTGAATTGAATTCTTCAATCAGCTATTTGGAATTGGGCAATGGAATGGACTATTTCACTAATGACTTTGTTCAACCTGTGAAACATGGTATCGTTTCATCAGAATGTCAAGATTTGTGCTCCGGAAATTGCTCTTGCTTGGCCTTCTTCCATGAAGAAGCATCTGGTTCTTGTTATATTATTGAAAATCATCTCGGTTCCATCATGTCCGCCTCTTCTGATAAGGACGGGGATCGTTTCGGATTCATAAAGACCAGAGTCTCATCTTCCCCGGACGCAAACACGAACACAAATGCTAACGATCAAGCGGGTAAATTTCCAATTGCAGGTCTGGTTCTATTGCCTACATCTGGGTTTTTTCTGTTAATTATATTAGTTATAGGATTTATTTGGTGGAGGAAAAATAAAAAGCAATCTAGAGGTGAAGTAGTGAAGTTAGGCAGCAGAAATTCATCTTTTGAAGAGCTTGAGTTGATTAGTATACCGGGATTACCCGTAAGGTTTTATTATGAGGAGCTTGCAATTGCTACTGATAGCTTTAAGACCCAAATTGGCAGTGGTGGATTTGGTACTGTCTATAAAGGAAGTTTACATGACAAAACTGTTGTGGCTGTGAAGAAAATAATTAGTATGGGAGTACAGGGGAAGAAGGAATTCTGTACTGAGATTGCAATCATCGGAAACATTCATCATATCAATCTTGTTCGACTGAAAGGATTTTGTGCGCAAGGGAGACAAAGGTTTTTGGTTTATGAATACATGAACAAAGGTTCTCTGGACAAGACATTGTTTGGAAATGGACCTGTTTTAGGATGGCCCGAGAGATTTGAAATCGCTCTTGGAACTGCAAGGGGGCTTGCTTACTTGCATAGTGGCTGCCAGCACAAAATTATTCATTGTGATGTCAAGCCGGAGAACATTCTCTTGCATGAAAATTTTCAAGTGAAAATCTCGGATTTTGGTCTTTCGAAGCTGCTAGGCCCAGAACAGTCCAGTCTATTTACCACCATGAGGGGTACCCGGGGATATCTTGCACCGGAATGGCTAACACACACTGCAATTACCGACAAAACAGATGTGTATAGTTATGGAATGGTATTACTTGAAATTGTGAGGGGAAGAAAGAATTGCTCATTGCAGACACACCGCAGCAGCACAGAAAAAGATAGGAGGGACGCAACTACCAGGTCTTCACCTTTGGATTCATGGTCTGTGTATTTCCCTCTGCTTGCCCTGGAAATGCACGAACAGAGAAGGTATTTGGAGCTGGCAGACCCAAGGCTAGAGGGGCAAGTGAGAAGAGAGGAGGTCGAGAAGCTAGTACGGGTGGCGTTGTTATGTGTGCAGGAAGAGCCAATGCTGAGGCCAAGTATGTCAAATGTTGTTAGCATGTTAGAAGGTGGAATGCCTTTGGGTGAACCAAATATCGAGTCCTTGCGCTTTTTGCGGTTTTATGGGCAGAGATTCACAGAGCCATCAACAATCGGAAATTCCAACGAGCAGAATGAGTTTATATTGTACTCGGAAGCAAACGGTACAAATAGCTCTGCTAACACTAACAGCGCTTCATACAATTTCTTATCTTACATGTCATCACAACAGGTTTCTGGTCCAAGATAGAGCTTAAAGTATATTCTTTATTTGGTTGTGGTCTTGTTGTAGCAAATGCATTTACAGTTTTATTTTTTAACAATTTATCAAGGAATGCAAATTCTTTCCTTCATCTGTAAATACTTGAGAATTGGTATTCTCTTGAATCTGAGAGTATTTTTATAATTATATATCATTTCATTTCATGCCTAAATAAAATATTTGTATTCTAGTTTTAAATAAAAAAAGTTTGAAGCCTATAATTTCTAATATAATATCATACATTAGGGTCTATCTCTTTAGACCCTTATTATCATTATTTTTCTAATTACAATTTTATCTCTTATTAAGATTACTAATCAAGACATGAAAGAGTTATGCCTATCTAAAAATTTTATTTTTCTTTTGATTATAATCCCTAATTCAATAAACCCTAATTCTATTTTCAAATAATGGAGACGAAATTTATGCAATTGAAAGAGTTTGATCAAGATCATATAAGTACTAAATTCATTGCTTTCTTATTTTCCTTTATTTTTTCTTCTTATGCACTTCTTTACAATTTATAAGTTAGTTTGATGCCTTCAATTTCTTAATTGTTATTCTTACAATCTTGAAAGGAAAAAAACACATATAATTGAATTTCATTTATGAATATTATATTCAAAACAAGAAGTATAAAATAATATTGCTTGTGTCATTGATAAACCATACGTGATATGATGATGATGATGAGCAAATATAATATAATTAGAAGCAAGGTTAATTTATTGTAAACTTAATTGTTTGAGTTTTTGATATTAACCATATTTCAATTGAAGACAATTGTTTTGTTATGCATAATCAATTAAACACAGAGCACGAATGTTCTTCCATAGGATAACACAAGTAAACCAAATATATATATATATATATTATATATATTATATAGATATATATATATATATATATAATGCCTGGAAAAGTAAGGCTGATGCAGAGCCTTGTCAACGTAAGTGGTCAAGCTTAGGTAAGTCCTGTAGTCATCCAGACGCAGCCACGTCACACGTTGATGCAAGCAGCATGCTCTTGCCATTGCAGTAGGTGTGCGCCAGGCTGGTGAAAGGCTGGAGGCGATCCACGTGTCCAATCCCTGCAAGAGTCAAGTAAATCACTCGAGCAGGTGAGCAACGGGACGCAAGGAAGGATTTACACGGCAATCTGACCCACTCCCTAATTTAGTAATCATTATCTCAATTCATCCCACTATAAATAGAAGGATCCTCTCCCGTTTGTGGGATTAGCTAAGTTCTCTCTAGAATAGCATATACATACGCTATCTCTCTCTCTCTTTCTCTCCCTCTCTAGTAAACTCTTGTAAGTCAGCTCGCTGAACGCGACCTGACCTCATATATTAATACGATACCAGTGGACGTAGGATTCGCTTACTTAAGCATCCGAACCATTTTAAACACTATTCTTCATCTTCTATTTAGTTCAATACCCCCTGTACACGTGTGTCTTTTGAGTCAGCTTAGCATTTCCGATGTGCGTTTAGTTGGTGTCAAAATCACGCATCAACAGTTTGGTACTAGAAGGAGGGCCTGATTTAGTATTTGTCTTTCATTAGGAGAATCTCTAACTAATCGGTCCAATAGCAAATGGCTCGCAGATTCGAATCTGAGCGACCCAATCATGGTGAGGAAGAGATCCCCTGAGTACAAGAGGACACTTCATCCGAAGTGCCTCCAGTCCCTCAAAATCTCGTGGGGATATCCCTTCAAGCTTATGGCTTGATCCAACCGTCATGAGCTACCTGGAGAGGTTCAACAACACTCTCCAAATGGTCAACCAAAGGCTGGACTGTTTGGATCGGGTCGCGGCACCCGAATCAAATGAGGTAGTGCCACAGCAAAAAAGGCCTGCAGGTCGCATAAAAGCGCGGAAAAGGGCGATAGCCCGTGTCGCGGACACTGTAGCGCATCAAAGGAAGCGAAAGCAGGTGGCAAACAACGGGCCTAGAGGCTTCGACGGACCAGTGAACACCGACCGCACCCCAGGCAAAATACCCGTGGCACGGAGACTCGGACATGTCGCGGCCCGAGCTGTCTCGTGTCACATCACGCAAGCACTCCCACAAAAGTGCAAGGCGGGGAGATTCCCATTATAGCCAAAATGACGATTCCGATCGTCGTCAGGCGGGAAGTTCCCACCGTACGCGGGTCGGTTCGTACCACTGCGGAGGTCAGGAAAGTTCCTCAGACCAGTCAGCGCCATCGCACGACTCTAGCCAACGTGTGTCAAGAGCAACTGAAACTGCCAGCCGAGGTGAGGAGGAATCCGACCTTTAGACTTTCCTCAACCGCAACCGCGAAGGGTCAAACCCGCATGGGGGAAAGCAATCCGGGAACGGCTCAGCTGCCTCAGATTGAGGAGTTACAGCGAGCTCTTTACCAGTTAAAGGCTCAGCAAAATGAGCGAGGACAGGTCGTAGAGGTGTCTCCCTTTTTTCGGCTGTGTTAGCCGCCCCTCTCCCATCCAGATTCAGAATGCCCGATATGTAAGCGTTCGATGGGAATTCTGATCCGCAGGATCATTTGTACGAGTTCAACGACCTGATAGAACTTCACCAAGTTTCTGACTTGGCAAAATGCTGATGCTTGGCAGTAACTCTTACATCTCATGCCAAACGATGGTTCAGGTTGCTCCCAACGGGATCAATCAGCTCGTGGAATCAGATGAGCTCGACATTCTTGAGACATTTCCAAGCGAACAAGAAGTTCTCAATGCCTTTGAGCTACCTCAGCAACATAAGGCAAGAGGGGGATGAATCCCACCAATCTTACATCGATAGGTTCCATAGAGAACTCCATAAAGTAGCTCATACTCCCGAAGAGTCTGTTCGGACTCTCATCATAGCGGGAGTTCATCCACAGACAGATCTGTGGAAAAAGTTGCAATCAGAGGATGATGTTTCCCTCACCCGCTTTTACAGCCTTACGGAGAAAAACCTCTGTATTGAGAACTCCATGGCGGCGCTACACCGCCACGACCCTAGTACTTCGGGCAGTGTGCTAGGTTGGGGGGAAAATATGAGGGCTGATCACCGTTGGGCTAGCGATGATCAGCGAAAAGGAAAGAAGCAGCAGTTTGAGCCCAAGAAGTCTTATGCTCCAGTTCCTCATCGCGATCGCAACAGGAATCAATATACCCCTTTGAATGCGTCTGTCTCGGCCATTCTTGACAAATCAAAAGAGGTCGGCCTGCTCGGAGAACCTAAGCCCATGAAAAATCCCCATTTAGTTAGAAACAGTAAAAAGTATTGTCATTATCATCAGAACAATGGGCATCACATTGATGGGTGCCTTGCTCCCAAGTAGGCAATCAAAGACCTTATCAAGCAGGGGCATTTCAAAGAGTATATTAATGACTCTGCTCCCGTAAGGGAGAAAAATCGAGAGGAACCGAGTAAGAAACGTTGTGATTGCAAAGGTATCTGTAGCATGGGGATAATCTTTGGGGGACCACACCTCGGGGGAAACTCGCGAGGTGCCCAAGAAAGATATGCTCGCGCTGCCCATCACGACCCTATCCGTGTGATGAACACGATGCGGTGACCATCAAAAGGTTCACAGAGAGGAGGAAATCACCTTAACCGAAAAAAACGCAGTCCGATTGCATCATCTTCATGATGATGCTTTCATCATCACGCCCCAAATAGGGCACTGCGACATCCACAAAATGTTGGTGGATAACGGAAGCACTGTTAACATCCTGTTCCAGCGAGCTTTTGAAAGAATGAAATTGGATAAGGCTGACCTGAAGCCCGCCTGTATCCCCCTATATGGTGTTAGGAAACGATCCGAGTTGCGCAGCGGAAAAACAAAAATTTTACAACAATGGATCGTTCCTTAGAACCCAAAATCAGGGCACAGTTTATATATAACAAGAATCTGCAGAAAAATAAAACTAGAGTTTTAGATCCATATCCACGTTGGAGGCTCCTTCAATATTGTCTCTGAACGTGTTTGCTACCGATCCAAGTCCACACGAAGACAATCACAAGGAACCAAAGAGGGATTTGCTAGATCCTCATTGGCCTTAAGAAATCAAGAAGAAAAGCTTTGATTTTTGCACAAACCAAAATGGCGTGGGAGAGTGTTTTTCTTTGTGTTGTGTGTGTTTTCTTTTCTCTCAAAAGGCAAATTAAAATCTTATCAAAATCACACAAACACTTTTTCTTTTATAGGCAAACTTAGTTGCCCTATTCCCATATGGAATGGGCTTGGGCTTCAACCCAAACACCCCATGTTACCAAACACTCCCAATTAGATATTTTATTTAATTAATCATTATCTCAATTAAAATCAATTAATATTTAATTAACATTTAACAATAATGATGATTTAATTAAATATGTGCGACACATATTCAAACGTAATTTCACTTATTTATTTTTCTAATAAATTAAATAAAGGCTACGACCTCAGCAAATTTATTGCACTGTGAAATTACCAAAATACCCGTTTACCCAAAAACGAAAACCCCTTCTTTCTTCCTGGCTCTTAAATTATCTTCTATGTGTGTGACCCATAGCTCTTCATCATACCGGCAGTGTATAGTATCGCGATTAACACCAATTAATCGCTCACTAATAACAGACCAAGATTGGCCCCTAGCAAGGCATCTGGCCACCCGATAGATTCGGATTTACAAAGTAGTACCTGTCAACGTATGTGTTACCGTACAATTCGATCCTTTCATCATACTATATCTCGACGAGACGAAGGCATATAAATAGTGTCAACCTCCGGTTACTCTCGATATTATGTATTCAGTTTCTAGACCAATGACCTGTATTTAAACTGGATAGAGCAACAACTCAATCCCACTGTGGCCACAGTTTTAATGTCATTGCCATATACTGAATTACGCTGTGAATAACTTTTCCCTACCCGGAGTGATGAATCCTCTCAATCCACCATAATCTTGATACACTCCGTAATGTAGCCAATCACCACCATATTGACAGCTCTGAATAGAACTGTGTTAGGCTAGTGTCAGACTGCACCAATCAGTGCACAAGCGCTCCGATGATCTCAAGTCTAAGGATCACATGGACCACCATTCGTTAGAGGATTTGTTCCATAGACACTAGGTTACCACCATATGGAATCCTCTGGTGGGTCAGTCTAGTGAACTGCTACGGTGT